AGCTTCCGATAAAAATTCGGCTAGAGAGAGGAGCTCACTGTGTTTGTAAGAGGGAGAGTGAGAGTGGAGTTCTGTAAGGCGACGCCTTACCCTTCACCCTATTTAAATCATTTAAAACGCCTCCACCTCATGTATGAGGTGTAGCGTAAAAGTCCGCCTTTAACACATGAAAACCACGTCCACTAAAGGACGTGGCAATGCAACAAAGCTTAAACCAAATGAAGGAAAAGGCTTTTGAAAGTAGTGATGGTCCCTAAGGACCATCTTGCTCATATGGACCGTCACTTATTAAAGGCTTGTTGTTTTTTTTTTTTTGAAATTTTAGGATTATTACATATATCCCACAGAATCCAAAACAAGAAAGGAAACTTGAACTCTGACTTTGAAGTGCATAATTTGCTATTTCACACCATGTATTTATTCTCCATGATGTGTTCTTTAACTATATTTACCTTGTAAATCAGTTTACTAATTTAATCATGACCCCATGATTCTATGCAGCAAAAATGCCATTATCCAGTGACAAACATTCCTGAACTGACACAGAGTCTTATAACATTCAAGAAAAGAAGGAAAAAAAAGATGAATCACTTGAATTTGGAAAAGGAAAGGAAAACCTAAACCCCTAATTCAAAGACAAGCTGACCTGGATAAACTTCTGGATTGCTTCATGCTGGTTGATGGCAACACTCTCTTGGATTAAATCAATTTTATTTTGTAGAATGATAATATGTTGGAGTCGCATAATTTCAACTGCCGCAAGATGCTCAGAAGTCTGAGGCTGGGGGCAGCTTTCATTGGCAGCAATCAAAAGCAACGCGCCATCCATGATGGCTGCTCCATTCAGCATGGTGGCCATAAGAATATCATGACCCTGCCAATAAGAATAAAGGTTAGCACTGATCAAAATGCATAAATATGTGGTACCAAGACAATAAAAAGTTTTCCTTCATCGATCATATGGATATGGAAGTTCACAAGAATTTGTTTAAATGCAAAAATAGTTTTAAATGCAAAAAATGCTTAGGAAAGGGAAATTATCGAAACGATAACTCGACCGACATCAACAATTAGGTGCTCCAGAAACATGAGATCCGAAAAAACAGTTCTGCACTCTTCTTTTTCAAACTGACAAATTTACTCCCACTCTGATACGATAATCATGGATTTTTTAGTAACGTGATCAAGGAGAAACTAATTATCTAGAAAAATGATAGGTCCAAGTTTCTATAGCACTTGCAGGATTTGTGAAGGTATTCAGGGAACTTTTCTAATATGCTCCATATAAAATATCAACAAGCACAGAGTATAATTACCATGCACAGTTTTATAAATATATTATCTAAGAGAAACACATAAAATAGGAACTATACTCCTCTCTAGAGTTATGAAAGAAGTAAATTTGAAGATATTTTTTCAGTTAACAAAACTAGATAACATTAAACTCAGAACCGGGAACACCAATGGCTGATGGAATCCAACTTAGCTTTCTGGCCTAAACACCAAAATTGTTGTAAAACATTTTCTATCATCCAAGTAGGGGTGGCAATCAGGTCGGGTTGACACGAACCGGGGCTGGGGCCCAGGCCGTGTTTTGTTTGGGTCGGGTCCAAATGACTTGGACCCAACTGGGTCTAGGTCCTACATGGACCCTGTCAGGTCAGACCCAGTACAGAATATATAAAATACATTATATATATTTATTTATTTATTTATTTCTAGACCCTGGTCCATGTCCAAATGACTTGGACCGAATCCAAGTCCGGGCGGGTCCATGTCCAGATTACTTGGACCCGACCCTAGGTCAGGTCCAGGTCCGGGTAAAACCTAGTCGTATCAAGTCCAAATCGGGGTCGACCTAGACCCAACCTGACTCGCCCCGAGGCCACCCCTAAATCCAAGATCCGAGATATACCATAAAGCCAGTAATTCCTGCACCCGACAGTTTGCTTAAATTAATACCACACCATGGTCAACATCCCCAACCATTCCCCACACTCCAGACCACAACTCCTATGCCTCCAATGCCACATCCTCAGTAAATCCCTATTCACTTCTCTTTAGCTCAGGATCCCAAATCCTGAACTTCTTAGGCTTGTGAAGCTCCTCCACTGAACTAAGTATATCCAAGACCTCTCCCTCATCCACCAATCCAAAGGCAAACATTGTCACAGCTTCTTAAAGTTCCCTCTCAAGATATGGGAACAACAAGATGCGACAAACAATTAAGTGTGATGCAAACACCCAAAGATGTATTCTCCTCCAATTAAGCCTCAATACATTCACATCCACTTAACAGTTTCCACAACATTTCTTAGCTAGGAGCCCAGATAAGGGAATGGATAAGGATTAAGGAGGAAAGGGGCATGACTCAGCATTTCTCAGAACCCTTCACATGGACACAGATGTGAGCATCCTAGCTAACACATTACAAATATGTATTATAGCTTGTATAATACATAAATATTTGCGCCCAACATTTGGTACATATCCCATACATATATGGGATATGTAAAACAATGGAATTATATATGGGTGCAGTTGGCATACGGATACATCCGTAGGTGTAAAGGGAAGGTGCACCTTCAAATTTTATCATGGTATATAATTTTGATGTAAAATGTTCTTAGGATTATCTCAAAATCTATTTTTATATCTAATCATAAAATTTTAAATTTAAAAAATGATCAAAATCAAGTACACATATAAACATATGAAAATCTTGAAAATGGACGGTGTAGATAATATGTTGTAAAATGCACTATTTCTAAGACTTAAAATCTTTTTATTTCATAGTCATACACCTCGATGTCGAGATGATCAATCAAAGGGTTTTTCAACAATAAAACTACCTTTTCCAATGGATTTTTGAGGGGCATCCGTAGTTCCACATTATCAGGTAGCATCCTTATATAAACTTTTTCCATTATATACACCATAAATATTTGCGTCCAACATTTGGTATATATCCCATACATATATGGGATATGTAAGACAATGATATCTATATATCCCATATCATAAAGCAGATAACCCATATGTATGTGTATATTAAAGCAGATAACCATATATATGTAAATTATATTACTTGAAGTCATGATATTTTGTATTTACAAGTATCTTCCCAACATCTTGTACAAGTAACAATGTCCATATGATATAACACCAGAAAGTTAAGAATGTAGAAGTATCCATTCGACACAGCTTCTGAGGCATGCCCCGCACATAGTGCATCCCTAAGGCACCTGAATTTGATAGTAAGCAGAACCGATAACACAACCAACCACAAAGTTTCTCAATAACTCAATTTCACCTACCCCCACTACTGAACCCCTTTTACCTTTGCCTCAAAACCAGAGCATAGCATAGATTTCTAAAAATGGATTGCCAAAGCACCAGCAACTGGCAGAGTATTATTGTCCGCATATAGTAGCATTCATAACTTATCCTTACCTTAATCTACCTGCACAGCCAGGTAACGGACCTCCTCAGAAATAATTGTAAATAAAGAATGGCAAAGTAGATGCATCTGCCTTAATTTCCCACAACTATGAAAGAGGTAAAATTGTTATTATGTGAGCCTGGTAAATCTCTCTGCAGATAACTTTAATTTTACCAAAGCAAGCCTGATAAGGTTTTTGCCGTAAGATTACAGGCCATGGCTCCTTTTATATCCCTTTCACTCCTCAATCATCTATCTTTCCCACAAATACATGATTATTCGCTTTAACATTATGTTCTGTATTAGCAACTTTGTTTTACCACCTCCAACGTGTAAAGCTATTCTCTGCTGTATTTTACAACCCAACCGTTCCCTCTCTCCCACATGGCTCTTGTTTTATAATATCTACGACTAACATTCTTAAATACTTTCAACTCATAAATGTGAGACCGCTCTTTAATTTATTTTACAACCGAATCTTCCATCCCAGGTGGCTTTATTCATAACCCTACCATTTTCATACATTTCCTGCCTCACATTCACAGGATTTATTCTCCACCATATTTTACTACCCCATTCCCTATACTAAAAGTAACCTCAGTAACTAAAACTTCCCCATTACATTTCTTTAAAATAAATAAATAAATAATAATTATAAAATACAAGGAGAAGAACTCTTCCCCATCACTGATCTAGCGCTACTTTTCACTACAATCATATCGAACTATTGGAAAAGCAAGAAACCAAAATAGTTGGAAGAGAAAGCGTAGGACTAGAATATAAAGCAAATTCTGGCACAATTTCAGAAATCGACTAAAGTATATTTAGCAAGATTTTTTTATAAACGATCAGAAGAGATGCATTTTGAGAGAAAAACTACTAAAATTCTTCAGCAAAATTCTGCATTTATGCAAGGTGCAAATGTAGAGCAGTTGAATAAAAGACACACAGCTTCCTTCAATTTGATCTGACTGTCATGTCCATCCACACTAAGATAAGGTAACCCTAAAGGAAGTTTTTCTTTTTATCATTTTTTCCTTCCCGCATCAAGACAAGGTAACCCTAAAGAAGTCGTAATCAGAAACCACAGATTTGGGGGGGGGGAAATGGGGACCCCTAATAAAGAAAAAAGAGAACTCACCGGACAGTCCACAAAGGAGACATGCCTTAAGAGTTTCATCCTAGCATTTTCAAATCCAGGAACATCACACAAGGGGCTATCTTCCTTTCCACTTCCATATGCTCTGCACGTTACATGGAAATAGTCACACACAAAAGAACATAAAATTACATGATAAGCACAGGAGTTACCAAATTTATAAACCTATTGTTAAATAGCATACTTGTAGCACATTGGTCTAGGGCAACGTTCATCCTCACACTTGTATATCTTAGCATTGGCATAACCCAGTTTAATGGTGATATTACGCTCCAGTTCATTTTTGAAACGAACAGTCTGTATACAACAAAAAAGTTAAAATCAGGCAGACCAAATTTTTATTACAATCAATCTTTTGGAGACAATTTAACAGGGGGGCAGAAGATGCAACGTAATCAAATATGCCCAATGAATATCCCATTTCAAAATAAAATTGTAAAGATATCATAGTGCAACTTATAGACAGTTGAGGTCAAAGGAAATGAAAGCAAAGGAAGAGAGAACATCTCTCCAAAATAAAGCTAGACTAGCATACTTCTCATTCTCATTACATAATAAAATATAAGCTGCATTGCAGGATGCAGTGCAAAATCCAATAGAAAAAAAAAAGAAGTGGTACTTTATTATGAATGAATTACAAATTGAAAGCCACCATAGAAATACCTCTTCTATGCATAACCACAAGTTTACACAAACAATAAACAGCATACAAAGATTCATATGCATTCACCAGAAAGGGTCCAATGAATTGTGGATGAAGACACTATTAAGGAATCATCACCATCTAATGCAAGTTATGGACAGCACTAGAGAGAGTGGGACCCACCATTGAGGTTGTGCCCTCTGGTGGATCCCACTGTTTTTCACAGTCCACATTTCATTGGGTTATGCCCTCTGGGGGAGCCCACTGTGTATCACCGTCCATAATTCCACTGGCATTGTGACAGTAAAATGACATGGTTTTTCACAGTAAAGATTATAATGGTTTTTCACAGTAAAGATTATAATTCGTGGAATGATTTTAGTACAAAGTTGCCTACCTTTTTGGTGCAGGACTGCAGGTGTTTCAATAACCATTGCATCCCTATCCAACCTTGAGATGCAGATCGAGTAATTAAAAGGTTGCTCTTGAATCTCAAGATTAGCAAAATCTCAATGGTTGTTGGCATTTCCCTGCACAGAAAAGGTAGGCAACTTTCGAAACTGATAATTCTCCTTGTACTTTCCCAAATCTAGAATAAAGTCTCGAGAGTGCATGCCTTGTGAACAATTGCCCAAAGAACGAACGTAAAAGAAGGCAACAATACAGCATGAAAATCAAGGTTCCATAATACTGAGCAATCAGGGTGATGCATATGACTATGATACAGTTCCAGCAAGCCCGACCCCAGGATGCATATATCAGAGATGCAACCTTACAATCAAGTCATCTCATCTTCTAAATATATCTGCTTTTCATCTTGATTATGAACAATGTACTTTTTTGTAGGCAAGCTAGGACTCAGAACCAAGCCCATCGTATTGTGGCCCGTAAACCCCATATAAGATAACATGTTCAAGAGTGTACGGCTCTAAGCAAGCTCTACACCATCCCAATATACAATAACTATGCATCCTGATAACTCCAGCCAATGGAAGAAAACCTGGTCAAGAATTTGCAATTTTTCTCCTAACAAAGCAATCCAAACCGCATCAAACTCACTTACCCACGATCTTCTGATGCTGTAAATCCATTTATCAATGAACACTGACAAGCATTTATAAATGCATAAATGGATCAGCTGCTTATGTAGTGCGATACTTTGGAAGGCAAGTAAGATACACTAGCCCTATGGCGTGGAAATATGCGTGGAAATATAGAATAAGTACTCAAATAAATCTAAGACTAAGAGTTATTTCATTTATAAAATTACACGTGTAATATCCGTCGAACTCCTCCTTCTGTCAATAATAAAGTCAATCATGATAAGAAGAAAATCAGAAATTGTGGCCTACACTTAACTAAGGAACATTCAGCTTGCAAGGTGCACATGGCCAATAAACAAAACAAATCACAAGCAATTATTTTTATCAGTAACTAGCATAAGCAATTCACTAAGATTGACACCCATATAAGAGGAAACATTGGTAGACAGCCTAGTTTGAGACAAACTTCACCATTGATGGCGTATGTGAAACTATTGAGAACCATATTAATACAGACATAAAATTTCATACTCCAAACTCCACGATTTAATAAAGAAAAAGTTTCTAAATCATGAGGACCATTCATTTAAATGAGGAGTTATAAAAGAAAAGAGAATTGCCTGAACACCAGATATTGCTTTAACGACAGTTGATTTCCCATGTGCCACATGACCAATTGTGCCTGAAGAAACAGTTGGATAATCCATTAAGAAAATCTTCTCAATAAAATGGCTGTATTATTTAATACGAAGCAAATCTCAAAACAGTGAAGAAATAAATGAAGTGGACAACCTAAATCACATTAGTTATTATAAGAAAATGAAGCAGTTTATGAATATAACTTCTCAATATCAGGAGAGACAACTGTTCATTCCAAACATGCACCACTGTAACTTAGGCTTGCATATTTTGAGAGTTCTTGGGGTTCCCTAAATCAATGTTTGAAAATACGGCTCAGGCAAGGTACTCGGGCCCTTGCTGAGCTAAGGGACTGGGGCAAGTCGACTCAGACTCACATAGGGATCAATAAAGCCCCAAATAATTCGAGGAAAAATAGCAAAAATCCCTTAGAAAAATAGAAGTCTAAGATTCCCCATAGGAACTACCTCATATGAAAATGTCAAATGAGCTCTTTTAGGGAATTTATCAAAATCACCTAACGTTATATGTACGATGATGATGATGATGATGACCTAACTTTATCAACTATCTAACATTTTACCCATTTCAATTATTCTCATTCATGATCATGTATATTTTTAATGGGAATTTGGCAAAAGAAATGGATAAAATGTTAATAGTTCATCTCTTAGGTGCATTTTGGTAAATTTCCCTTTTTCTTTATTGTGGTTACAGCTCCATTGGAATGTGTATATTATGCACAAAAGGGCTCAAGGCCTCAAAAATTCAATCCATCACATTTTGAGGGAGAGGGACCACTGCCTTATGTGTTTGTCCCTTTCGGTGGGGGACCAGGGCAAGTGCCCTGGGCTTGAGTTTCAAGAGTGGAGATGCTCGTGTCCACATCAGCATCTCTCTCTCTCTC